AACCTATTGAAATAAAGAAAAGTAAAATAAAGTATGTGGGAGGATTTAAAAAAAAAAAAAAAAAAAAGAGGGTGATGTGCTCTGGTTCTGCGGGGAGAGGAGGGGGGAGGCATGAAAGCTCCACGTTAGGGACCCTCCCAGACCTCATCCTTATGTGTTTTTCTTTTTGGTTGGTCCTGATATTGTATCCTTTGTAATAAAACTGTAATTGTAAAAATCTAAATAAAATGTAATTTGTAAAAAAAAAAAAAAAAAAAAAAGGAAAAAAGACGTTTTGGAATTCTGTCAGGCAATAAAAATAATCAGTATTTTCAGTGGAGGGCTTGTGTTTAGGAAAATAAATACATAGAATCTCCGACTGTTGTGACACTATTTTTCCATTTAATTCTATCAGTGTTTGCTTCATATATATTGGACTTCTGTTCTATGGTGTATATGTTTATAATTGTTGTATCTTCTTGAGAATTGGCCTTTTTATCAAAATATTTTGTCTTTGGTCTCCTAACAGTTTTTGACTTAAAAGTCTATTTTGTCTGATTTTAGTATAATTACCTTTGTTTTCTTTTGGTTACTATTTGTTTGGAATATCTTTTCCTGTCCTTTCACTCTCAACGTATTTCTAGACCAAAAGTGAATCTCTGATAGAAAGCATGTAGTTGAATTTTTAAAAAGTATTCTGCCAATCTTTTGATAAGAGAGTTTATTCTATTTGCATTTAATATACCAATAAGGGAGGACCTCTGCCATTTTGCTATTTATTTCCTTAGAGAGTTTTTGTTTCTGAATTCTTCCATTACTGCCTTCTTTTATGTTTAGGATTTTTCATAATAATATGTTTTGACTCTCTTCACATTTCCTTTTTTATCTATATTCTATAAATATTTCCTTTGTGATCTATTTCAGTAAATTCTGGTAGCTTTTAATCTTTCAAGGAAATTGTCCCTTTTATCTGGGTTGTCAAATTTATTGGCATAAACTTGTTCATAACATTCTGTCATTCCTTTAACCTCTGTACAATCTATGAATGGTGTGATTTTTTTTTTTCATCCTTTATAATGTTTTTTGGCTTCTTTTTCCTGATCAATTTTGACTAGAAGTTTTATCAGTTTTATTGGTTTTCTTATAGAACCAACTTTTGGATTCATGGATTTTTGTTGTTGTTTTTCTGTTTTTAATTTCTGGTTTGAACTTTATTTTCTTTCTTCTACTTCTTTGGATTTAATATGCTGCTTTTTCTGTTGTCTTAATTTAGAAGCCTAGGTCATTGATTTTAGGTTACTTTTCTAATATGGGCATTTAGTGCTATAAATGTTCCTATAAGTATTGCTTTAGTGGCATCATACAAATTTTAATGTTATGTTTTTCTTTTCATTTAAAATATTTAATTTAAAATACTTAGAACAATTTCATTATGATGTCTCTGAGTTTTTATTCTTTTTTTGTTTTTTGCCGGGGGCTTATTGAGCTTTTTTGATCTGTAGATTTATATTTTTCATCAAATTTGAAACTTTTCAGCCATTATTTCTTCAGATATATTTTTCCTCCCTTCTCTCTTGTTTTTCATCAACTCCATTGTTTGCATATTAGGCTGCTTGAAGTTGTCCCACAGATGATTGATGGTCTCTCATTTTCTTTGAATATTTTCTTTCTGCTTCCTTTTGGGTAGTTTCTATTGCTGTGTCATCACATTCACTGATGTTTTCCTCTGCAGCATCTAATTTGCTGTTAGTCCCATCCAGTGTATTTTTCATCTCAGACATTGCCATTTTTACCTTTTTTTTTTTTTTTTTTGAGACAGGGTGTTGCTGTGTTATCCAGGCTAGAGTGCAGTAGCACAACCATTGCTCATTTCAGCCTCGACCTTTCAGGTTCAAGCCATTCTCGTACCTCAGCCTCCTGAGAAGCTGGGACTACAGGCGCAAGCCACCATGCCTGGCTAATTTTAAAATTGTATTTTTGGCCGGGTGTGGTGGCTCATGCCTGTAATCCACTTTGGGAGGCCTAGGCGGGCGGATCACGAGGTCAGGAGATTGAGACCATCCTGGCTAACATGGTGAAACCTTGTCTCTACTAAAAATACAAAAAATTAGTCAGGCGTGGTGGTGGGCGCTTGTAGTCCCAGCAGCTGGGGAGGCTGAGGCAGGAGAATGGCGTGACCCTGGGAGGCAGAGCTTGCTGTGAACCGAGATCGCTGCCACTGCACTCCAGCCTGGGCGACACAGCAAGACTCTGTCTCAAAAAAGAAAAAAAAAAAAATTTATTTTGTCAAGACAAAGTCTTGCTATTTTGCCAAGGTTGGTCTTGAACTCCTGGCCTCAAGCGATCCTCCCACCTCAGCCTCTCAAAGTGTTGGAATTATAGGCATGAGCCACTGTGCCCAGCCCATTTTCATCTTTAGAAAGTTCTATTTGATCTTTTTTTATGTCACTCATATCTACTTAACTTTTTGAACATGTGGTGTATAGTTGTAACATCTGTGTCAGTTCTGAGGTAGTTTTTAATTGATTGATTTTTCTCTTCTTGGACAAGACATATACTTCTGCTTCCATTAATATCTTCTGGTCTCCCATTCACATATATCTACTGTTGAGTTCATATTTTCTTTGGCCTTTTTCATGAAGGTTGTTTTAGTTAAAACTAGATAATATAATTAATGGAACCTTTGAAATAAGCAGTAAGTGCCACATGAAAATTTACCAGTGTGCCCAAAAAAAGATTCTTGCAAAGAAACTGAATTAAAGATCATATTAAAAATGCAAACACAAATGGACAGGAAAAAGCTGAGATGACAGTTCTTCTGTTTCTGTTGTGAGCTCCATGTTATCCACATAAAGAGATTGAAAAGACAGTTTAATCAAATTTGGTAAGAAACTGGCAAAATCAAATCTCTCAAAAAGACTCCCACTGCTGCTACCAATTAAGGCAAATTATCAGCCACTTACAAAAGAGAAGCATGGTGAAGAAGCAGTTTTAGCATGTGAGATCTGAACAGCTCAGTTGCTGCATGTGAGATTCACTTGCTGCATGTGAGATTCACCAGAGGAACCTAGGGAAGATGACTGGGGACTTTAGGGGTCTGGATTTAGATTAGGTGCCCCTTCAGGCTACCTGTGTCTGTTAGCTTTGATGGCAGGACGACAGTGGGCAGTGTCTCCTGTGGATAGTATTGGTAAGTTTCAGATATAATATGTCAAAAGCATAACTTAGAGACATTGTTAGTTATTCACATGCAAATTATTCTTATGTCAGAGACAGTCATTAGACTGTTGACAACAAACATGCAAAACCAGGAAATAAGAAAAGAAGAGATGGGGTATGGGAAGAAAACACATACATTCTGGAAGTGGTGGGTTTCTTTTCTTGGGTAAACAAATTAGCTGATAGTTAGGAAAGATGTTTGTCTGCTCTTGAACATGTACCTGGGATTATTATGAAAAAAAATTAGCTATTTATATACTCCCTGAAAAACCTTGAGAATTTAACTGTAGAGCGTGCATGACAGAAGCTATCTCTGTGTAGTGTCTGCCAGTGGCTATCATTTAGTGCCTGCACCAAGTCAGAACCATTTTCCTTTTCTGAATTTTCTCAGCTTTTGTGCTTTTTTTTTCTTTTTTCTTTTTAAAAGCAATAGGAAGAAAATGTAGATAATTTCATGTTTATGTAGATGGTTCCACTTTTAAAATGGCATGGTAGCTTCTTTATTTAGACCTGGTAAATAGAAGATTATTTAGCATGTGGGATTTTTTGTTTGTTTGGCTGTGAAGAAATTTTATATTTAGATTTTTCTTGGGCTGTGTAATCAGCACTGTCCTTTTACTAATGGTTGCCCGTTATTCTAGGCTTTATCAACTCCTTTATCACCCCAGCTCAAAACACCAAACTTCAAAAAATATATATTTGGTATACAGAAAGACCTGGCATAATGCACATTTTGAATGTGCATTTTTATTACCGAATTTGTATTTGTAATGGATCACCACAAGTCTTCCAAGAATTACAAATATATTTCCATATTGGTGACAGGTGTTCTATTAAGCATTTAGTATGTGAGGGTGCTGTTCATCTTAGTTGGGGCTGTTCTGAATTAATTGTGACAAGCTAATAAGATCTTTTGAAAGTTTCTTTCCAAGCTTCTTGAGCTAATGTTTTCCCTCTGGCCAGTGGGGTAGACTGAACTCTTTAAAGACCTGTGGGCAGTTGCTGTTCATTTAAGCCAGATGGCATGTGTCAACTCCTTTTCCTGGAAAGGGAGAGGTTTCTTTTTTGGCTGCTGTAATAAAGCCTTGTGTGACTTCTTATGAAACTCTTTTCTTTACATAAATTAGTACTTATAGAAGCTTTTCATAGAACTTTGGGCACTCCTCTTTCACTTATGAAGATTCTTAGATGGTTGTATATAAATGTTTTCGTGTATAAATTCTTTTATTGAAGTTGTGCTGTAGCAGGTTATCATTGATTAGGTTATCACATAAAAATAGTATTTTTTTTAGGATAAAAACAAAATAAAGAAATTATATGACAAAGAGTGAGGAACGCTTTTATATTTTTACCAGTTCCCCAAGCTGCTTACAGTCAAGATCTGAGTTAGTGGTTGGCTGACAGTGGACAGCACTCTTAACGGTAGCTTGTGGATGCTTAGGGAGCCCCTGGAAGCTGCTATGATCCACAGTCAGCCATGCATAATCTTCATGTGAGCACTGTAATTGCAGCTCTTGACTTTTAGCTTGCATAGTGAGTTATCACCTTAAACTGAATTTTGTTTTTCCTTTTTGGAAGAATGGAAGGTAGGTGAGTGAGTGAATTCTACAAGCATTTGATTTTTATTTATCCTGATTAAATCCTAAGATCCTGGATTTTATCTCCACATCCAGAATTCTAAGAATTTGGGGTGTGAACTGGGCATGTGATAAAGGTGACTTTTCTGTTTTCTGGTTTTCTTGGTAATGGATGTTAAAAGTCTGTTTTACTGGGAGACTTATCAAAATTTTCATTTCTTTAAGGTGTTGACTTTAAGGTGAAAACAATTTCAGTGGATGGAAATAAGGCTAAACTTGCAATATGGGTAAGAGCTTTTAAAATGTATTTTGAAAATATTAAACTTTACTTTTTAAGGATGCAGAAATTGATTTGTGTAGTGTTCTAGAGGTGGTGAATGAACAATTTGTATTAAATAACTTTTGGGAGATTTGATACTGATTAAAGGATAAACAGAGTAATATAATTGGGTAATTAGGCGGCTATGTTTTGTTTAAATTTTTACAATGCATAATTCTTTATGAATATTTCAAAACAGAACAGAATGTTAAAAAATCATCTCATCTGCCAAAGAGAATCATAATTGGATATGTTTCTTTAAGTTTTAAAAAGACCGTCTAGACTGAACTAACACTAAAGGTAATTGTTAAGGGGAGGAGGAATGACGTGATGTTTAGGAAAAATTTTATTTTTCTTGTTTGTTAGTATAGATATTTATAAAATTTGAGGTTTCAAACTTTGGGCTTATTTTTAATGCCTCGTTTTTCCTTACTGACTTCTTTTCATTTTCCTGTGACTCCAACCATTCTGATCCCCATTGCTGTACTAGCTAGACCTCCTCATGCTAGTGTCAGATAAGGTAGCATTAACTGTCAAAAATATCCAAGATGCTTAGTGTCTATGTTTGTCTCTCTGTGTGTCTCCCTTTTATCAGTCTATTTACCCATCTACATACCGATCTATCTATATCTATCTAAATATGATCGGTACTATATATACATATATTAATTCTAAATATATACTGTTTTATATATCTAATTTCCACATATGCTCTGATAATTATACATATATGTTTGTAACATAAGAAATCATATTAGAACTGATCAGCAGTCATCAAATCGAGACATATTTCCACAAGGTGGTTAAATGGTAAATGCTGTTTGTACATCAGTCACAGATTGAAAACAGCAAGTGTTCATGCATTGTATGATGTCATATTTCTTGGCATTCTCTGAATGGCACACTGTTTCTAATACACATTTATCCCCAAATAACAAATAACTGTGTAAGTGTGTTTAATGTTTTTATGTCAGTTTTTCCTAACATATACTACTTTAAATTTGTTAACTTGTTTGCCCCTTTCCCGCAAATATATTTAATATCAATCAGAACAGTAATGTCTAACAGAGAACAATTTGGAAAATGTTGGACTAGACTATGGTAAAATGTGTTGAACAATGTAAGAATGCTGGCTTTTTCCATACTAAAGTGGGGGCCTGATTTCCATATGCTTTTCGTGGTTGATTTATTATCCCTTTCCGTCCTTGCTGCTGCTTTGTGAAACATATAGATTAGAGTAGTATCTGAGGCTTGCTGGTTGCAGTGAGATTTTTCTCTCATAGTTTCGTTTTGTTTTAAATTTACTTTCTAGTTCCTGCCTAATAAAAAGGCTGGCAGGTATTATTTAAGAGACATTTTTACCATAGGCCTATAAACATTCTTTAAAGAAGAGAGATTTTCCCCCTGGCTGTAAGAATAATACGGGGTCATTCTTTTTTGTTTGTTTGTTTGTTTTTTGTTTGTTTTTTTGTTTGTTTTTTTTGTTTCAGTTTTTTTTATTATTATTATACTTTAAGTTCTAGGGTACATGTGCATAACGTGCAGGTTTGTTACATATGTATACTTGTGCCATGTTGGTGTGCTGCACCCATCAACTCGTCAGCACCCATCAACTCGTCATTTACATCAGGTATAACTCCCAATGCCATCCCTCCCCCCTCCCCCCTCCCCATGATAGGCCCCGGTGTGCGATGTTCCCCTTCCCGAGTCCAAGTGATCTCATTAATACAGGGTCATTCTAAAAAGGATAATTGAGACAGTAAGACAGTAGTAGAGAAGAATGTACATAAAAGTATACCACCAAGTACATTTTAGTGAGCATTCTTTAAAATATCTAGGGATATGTATACATACCACTATACATACGAGTATGTGAGTTTTCCAAAACAAAGGGATTATATCTTACATTTTTAAACCTGTTTGTCCTCCTTTCCTGCCACCTCACCCCCACACACAGTATGTGCTCTGTCCATTTAGATGGCCACCTAGTATTCCATTTCATAGCTGTACTTTAGTCAACCTTCAGTGAGAGATACTTACATTTTTGCCAGCTTTTCACAAAGATTAGAGCTCTTTGAGCATTCTGATTTATACGTCTGTGTGTACGTGTCCAGTTACTTTAAAATGTGTAGCTGGAAGTAGAAATAAATATGAAGTCTTAACATTAATGTACACCAAAAAGCCTTTTTTTCAGTTTATACTCCCACCAATTATATTTATATTCATTCTGCCACATCCTTATCTATACTGTTATCATTCTTTGTTTTTGCCTCTGAGTGTTGCTGTTTTACTTATATTTGCATTTCTTTTGATGAGATTTTTGCCTATTTATTGATCATTTTAAAAAATAAGTTTTCTTTTACATATTTTACCCATTTTATATGTTAGCATTCATCTTTTTTGTCATTAAAGTCTTTATATAATAAAAGTATTAGCTCTTTGTCATGTGATACAATTTTCTAATCTATCATTTGCCTTTAAAATCATGTTTCAGTTGAATATATGTTTGTGTTCTTGTGTGTGTGTAATACTAACTGCCATATGCTACAGATTTTTTTTTCCAGTTTGTCATTTACCTTCCAATATTGTTAAGGATGAATATGGGGATGGGGAGGTGAAGAGGAGGTAAAAGATGTTCTTGTCATACCAAGGTTTTAATATTTATATGGTTAGATCAGCTATTTTCATCATGGCATTTGGGTGTAATGTATTTAGGAAGGTCTTTCCTCTCTGTTAGAAATATATGAATCCATATTGCCTAATTCTTCTATAGTTTTATTTATAAAATAAAATGAGTTTCTCTCCTACTTGGAAGCTTTTTCTAGGATGAAATAGAATAGTTAAGCATAGCCCTGCCCCTCCTGCCTCCTGAAAGTGCATACGCATCATGACCTTGTTTTCTTCTACTGCCTTTTTCTATGTCCTTACTTCACTTTCACTCCCTCCATCTATTATTAAGCCTTTCTAGATCTTTCCTAGCCCTGAATTTCCTAGCCCTGATCTATATATCTTTCAGTAATTTCTTCTCTTCTTCCTCCATCAGAAAATAAAACCACAGGATAGAGACAAAAAGCTGTACTTCATTTATCTTACAAAGATGTTATTATACCTACCACATATTCCTGTTTTGAAAACAAACACAAGCAACAATCTAACTTCTATTTAAGCATATACACTTTATAGTTACTATAAATCCTGATCCAATGCTATTGCACATGGTTCCCTCTACCCTCTAAATTATAACACCTATTTAAACATTTTTATAAGTGAATCCAAAAATGGCAAGGCTCTAAACATCTGGCCTAATTATTAATAAATATTCACAAGCGAAGTTTCAAAGTCAAGTGTAGTATTTCAACATTAAAACTTTCTTGCTATGGTTTTTACTTTTAAAACATCGGGCTTTATGGATATTTTAACTGGAATTGCAGTTCTGATTTTTATGTTGTGTTTCATTAAGGCAGTTTTTGAAGTTGATCTCAATGAAGACCAGAGAGAACAAAGTTCATGTTCACTTGTTTTTCTGCCAGCTCGGGAACTTATGGACACAGTTTCCATATGCAAATAGAATAAACTTTTTTCCTGTTATCACAAAGTCTTGGGGCTAAAATATTTCATACTTGGTCTTTGCCCCAAACTATTTGTTATGAATATAGAACAGTGTTCCATGTATGGAAAAATAGCTGCTTTTTAAATTTCCAAATTCACTAATTCACTGTTCCAAACCCAAGGCTTGTCTTTTCAATAATGGCTTTTCCTTCCTTTTTTCTTTCTTTTTCTCTAAAGAAGATAGTCTGTACTACTAAAAGTTAAATGCTTAACATGGTGCAATTCTTGAAGTTATAATGTATCTGGATACTGAATAATTTGAATATTACTAATTTGTCATTTTTTGCATGTAAGCAAATCGCCAGGATGCGTTCTCATCATGATTTGTCATTTTAAAATATACATTTTTTATTGAGTTTTTATGAATCAGATTGTGTGAAATAGGTACTAGTACAAGGCTATGAAGAGCATTTCTAGTTTCTTATTGTATATATTACCAATTGCTTCCTAAAAGCGGTGACACTTTTACTGATATATATAGTAATCATTTTACTATGATATGCATAGTAGTTATATCTTTTGGCTTCTAGTTGATTACTTTTTCTTTCCCTGCAAATTTGGGTTTTGATTACTTGAGCATAGTGATCAAAAAAGATCACTGGGCATCCATGTGCCATTTCATTAATGATTATTAGACTACAATATTGACTTGTCTCATGTTACCAAAGTTATAATCTGCTTTAGATAGCAAGTTCACTTTGCTTTAAGCAGCTTTTAATTCATATTATTGTTCTTGAAAAGTTGAGTAAATACACAAATTGAATAATTTTAAAATCCAAAGCAGGTTTTGTAAGAAACTTAAGAGGCAGCAAGAATTTTTGTAAAGAGAAAAATCATTTATTTTATAAATTTATCTGTTTAGAACATTTACTTTAAATCTGTTACTTCGTCACTTAAGCATGGCAGGGTGGGGATTAGTTTCTGTGGTGGTGAGAATCTGGAAGGAAAGGCATTCAAATTTATGTAAGTATATCTGTAGCAGAGTGGTGAATGTTCAAAGTGGTTTACATTGGAAAGTTACTTTCCTCTTAAGTTTCTCTTCTGGGGTTATAAATGCCCACAGATCCTCCCTACTGTGTTGCTGAAGCCCCTCAAGCCCCTTGTTTGTATTCCTCTCCAATCTTATAAACCTCTTACAGGTTATTCTAGCACTTTTTATATCTAGAGGAGCTTCTGCTTGTCCCATAGAAAACCCTCATTTACAGCAGTGGGACTGGTAGCTAAGTTGAGGTTTGATACATGTGTTTACTTTTACTTTTCTTTAGGTTACTTTGCATCAGCAGACTGCAAACTTTTTCTTAAAGAGCCAGATAGGAAATAGTCCAATCCTGAAGTGGGCCATGTGGCAATACGTAAGCAAATAGGCCTGCTGTGTTTCAATAAAACTTTATTTAATAAAACAGGTGGTGGGCTGAGCTGCTTTGTATAATCTTAGGTACTTTGAATCCATAGTCCAAGGATAGTGGAAAGACAACAGAGAGAAGGAATTGGGCCCGGAGGTAAAGGCTTGTTAAATAGGTTCATTCTTTTTCTTTTTCTTTTTTTACTCAACAAATTCTGAGCAACTGTCTTTTTTCAAGAATTGCTCTCAGCACAACGGTTAAACTGGTGATTAAACAGATGAGTCCCTGCTTTATGAAATTTACATTTTCTACCTAGTGTACGTTGTTCATTAACCCTAACATGAGTCAGAAACAACATGTAATAAAGAATGGCTTGGTTATATGCATTCTCTCAAAAGGAGATACATAGAAAACACTTAAAAAAGCCCAACCTAAAAATCTGTTACCTAAAGTAAGATATCCCCATAATTTTCTTCAAATCAGTGGTTCTCAGCCTTGATTCTACATTAAAAGCACCTGGTAAGATTTTTTTGAAATGAAAAATTCGTGTCATTACCTTAGACTGATTAAGCAGAAGTTTTTTGGAGGTTAGACTCAAGATTCCCAGAAAATTTCATTGTGCAGCTGGAGTTTAGAACCATGGGTTTCATTTCATGTATGATAAAAATCTTAAATTCAAAACAGCAGAAAACCTTTACATAGTTTCATTTTTCTAGAGATAAGTAATTATAAGTAATTTTATTTTGTGACACTTGTCAGTAAGTGAACACATCTTATTTAAGTTCCAGTTTTTTAATGAGCTCATGCATTAATACTATTTTTAATAATGCTGTTTGACTTTCTACTCTTAAACTAGTATATTGAAGGTCTATTTATACTTTGTTTAATTTAATAATAATGATCATTTTTAGGATACTGCTGGTCAAGAGAGGTTTAGAACATTAACTCCCAGCTATTATAGAGGTGCACAGGGTGTTATATTAGGTAAGTGTTTACTTTAATGTACTATTTAAAAATATTTATTGGAGTTTCTGATTTTCCTAGTCTGTGAAAGTTAGTGTGTTTTTGTTTTACTTCTCATTAGAGCTACTTTTATGTAACTTGTAGTTGTATTAAATTCATGTAATATTAATGAATATTAAAACTTCTGATTTTAGTCTTTTGTCTAGCACTTAAAAAATAAAGACAAGACTATTTGGTTTGAAAACACATGTCAATGAGAACGTAATTGAGGATTAATCAGCGTATGTTCGACTGTCTTGGAGTATTGCGGAAACTGGGCTTCAGTCATCAGCATATTAATATTTGCTGCAGTTTATAAAGGACGAAAAGTATTTGTTGATTAGTAGAACCTGCTTTATTAGTCCTAAAAATATCATAAAGCACTTAACACTATTGATTTATAATCAAACAAAATTTAGAAACCAAATGTGGCTTCTCAGTGTAATTTGTTGAAAAGTACTTGTTCTTGATATTCCTGGGAAACAGTTTAAAATGAATATTGATCAATTGTATTAATAGGTAGAATTCTCTTTTTTTAAATATTATGACTTGATAGTGACAGCCTTTTGGTTCAGCATCTCTTGAGTTTGTAAAACACTTTAATAAGCTTTTTGTTGTAATGCAGAATGACATAAGATGAAAGTGATAACGGGAAGACCATTAGGAACCCATCCACTAACTGTACTACAATTTTTTCAAAGCTGTAAATTTTGGTTCTTGTAAGAAACAAATTAATGGGGTCATAGATGTTTACATTCATGTATTTTCTTTCTTTTTTTTTTTTTTTTTTTTTTTTGATATTTTGCCACAGATTCAAATCTAAATACTCTGGTTTTTGGCTAGACCTCATTCATCATTATGAATGGGAACAGCTGTTATTTTGCTTTAATGGATATTAAATGGGTTTTCACTTATTACACAGGATATAATTTCATTTCTGTGACAGTATATGTTAATAGGATTGAAATGTGTGTGTATGCTTTAAAACAAACACTTGTTTCTTCCCTTTGGATCAGTAGACACTCATTATTAATTGTTGGAGACAATAAAAAACAGACTTGCCTATATTGCTTAGTAATGCTAACTCCTAGCTATGTATCAGAAATATACCATTGCTTCTTTCTTTAATGCTTATTTAACAAATGACTCCTTTTATTTCAGTTTATGATGTCACAAGAAGAGACACATTTGTTAAACTGGATAATTGGTTAAATGAATTGGAAACATACTGTACAAGAAATGACATAGTAAACATGCTAGTTGGAAATAAAATCGATAAGGTAAGAAGGTAGACACTTGGCATTTTGGTTCTGTATTTTGGTAGCCTTTCTTAATCATTGCATTTATGTTTTAGGAAAATCGTGAAGTCGATAGAAATGAAGGCCTGAAATTTGCACGAAAGCATTCCATGTTATTTATAGGTAGGTGTGTGAGTGAATATCTATCCTTTCATTATTAATGAGGAATTTTTAAATGGAATTTTTGCTAAGTTTATTCCTTTATGAACCATAAAATGTATTTAGAGTATTGTTCCTAGTTGCCCTGTGTTACAAAATCTAACTATATAACAAAGTTCTTTATTCTTCTTTCTGTAAAGTGTATGATCATATTATGTGAAATCATATTTTTAAAAAGTCAAATCATTCCTCACAGGATATAATGGCATTCAGTAAAGTTTGGCACCCAGTGCTAAAGTTGTGCCTTGCTGATCCATATGCTGATACCATCAGCACCACCTGGGAGCTTGTTAGCAGTGCTTCAGCTCAGGCCCTACCCCAGACTTTCTGAATTGGAATCTGCATTTTAACAAGCTCTTCATATGGTTTGTATGCACATTAATTTTTGAGAAACATGGTCCAGAAAGGGTTGCCAAACTACAGCCTAGTCCAAATCTGGCCTCACCATTTGTATTGGTACACAGCCATGTCCATGTGTTTACATGTTGTCTGTCGCTGCTTTTGTGCCATATGGCAGATTTTAGTAGTTACAACAGAGGCCATATGGCCCACGAAACCTAAATATTTACTATCTGGCCCTTTACAGAAAGAGTTTGCCAACCCCTCATCTAGAAAATTGGATGAGCCATATCAGAATCACCTGGGCCCTGTGCCTTATTACAGGTTTGAAAGGCAGTTTATTAAAAAGCACTCTAGTTGATTCTGATGTGAAGCCAGCTTTAGGAATTACTGATTTAACCATTCCATGGCGTTAGAAACTACTAGGAATCTGCAAATGAAGTTGAGAGGACTTCATATATAGATAGAAGCAGAGTGGAATTAGTGGAAAGTATTGAGATTTTCAGAAAGGAATTGAGTACTTTTACTTGCTGTATATCCCTGATTTCCATACATTAGTTTACCCAATATTTATTGAACACTCGAGATGTAACAGTGGACAAAACAGACAAACTTTCTGCCCACATGGAGCTTACATTCTAGTAAAGGAGACAGACTTAAATAAGTAAGTAGTGCTATGAAGGAAATAAAACATTGTAAGGGGAGAGGGAATGACTGGAGTGGGGACTGATTAGGGAAAGTTCTTAGAGACTGTCCCATTTGAGCAGAAATCCCTCAGGTGACGATCTAGAGCAAGCTTGTCCAGCCCACGGGCTGCATGTGGCCCAGGATGGCTTTGAATGTGACCCAACACAAATTTGTAAACTTTCTTAAAACATGAGATTTTGTGAGTTATTTTTTTAAGTTCCAGCTATCATTAGTGTTAGTGTATGTTATGTGTGGCCCAAGGCTGTTCTTCTAATGTGGCCCAGGGAAACCGAAAGACTGGACATTCCTAGTCTAGAGGGAGATCATCTCGGGCTGAAAGAAAAGCGAATATTTCCTGAGGTAGGAACCAGGCTAGTGTGTTAAAGGAACAGGAGGAAAGCGTGTGTACTGGAGCATAGTGTGTGTTAAGGAGAAGGCAGATGGTGAGAGATGCCATTCAAATGGTAAAGAGATGAATTGTGTTCCAGTTGTGGTGGAAAGCAGGGAAGCAGCGTGTGACCTGATACTCTAAAAAGATCCTGTTGTGTAGAAAATGGACTAGGGGAAACAGAAGCAAGAGACTCGTTCTTCTCTTGCAGTGGCTCAGATGAAGGAAGCAGTGGTTTGACTGTGTAGCAGTAGAGGGTGGTGGAAAACTGGCAGTTCTGGGAGGTACAGTGAAGGTACAGCTGACAGGATTTGTGGGTGGATTGGGTATGGAGGATAAGAAAAGAGAGCAATCAGCGGGCGCGGTGGCTCATGCCTGTAATCCCAGCACTTTGGGAGGCCGAGGCAGGTGGATTACGAGGTCAGGAGATGGAGACCATCCTGGCTAACACGGTGAAACCCGGTCGCTACTAAAAATACAAAAAATTCACCGGGAGTGGTGGTGGGCGCCTGTAGTCCCAGCTACTGGGGAGGCTGAGGCAGGAGAATCGCTTGAACCTGGGAGGCATAGCTTGCAGTGAGCAGGATTGGGCCACTGCAGTTCAGCCTGGGCGACAGAGCGAGACTTCGTCTCAAAAAAGAAAAGAAAAAAAAAAAAGGGAAAAGAAAAGAGAGCAATCAGAGATAACTCTGGGTTTTAGGCATGAGCAGTGAGGTAGATTTTGCTGCCAATAATTGGGATGTGAAAGATTGAGATAAGAGCAAGTTTACAGTAGGGAAGTGAGAAATCAAGAATTTCACTTTGACATAAGAATGAGACATGTTTTTGATAACCGGTGGACGTGGTGGTCATTGGCATTTAGGTGGCATTTAAGATCATGTGATTAGATTGGTGACTTCAGGAAAGAATGTGGATAGAAAAGGGCTGAAGAAGCCTGGGCAACCTAGTGAGACCTCATCTCCAAATAAAATCAGCTGTGTGTGGTGGCATGTGCCTGTGATTCCAGTTGCTCTGGAGGCTGAGGTGGGAGGATCACTTGAGCCTGGGAGTCCAGGGCTATAGTGGAGCTCCCACTGCACTGCAGCCTAGGTGACAGAGTGAGACCCTGTCTCAGAAACGAAACAAAACGAAACAAAGAAAATGGCAGAAGATTGAACCCTGGGGGACTCCAGCAATTAGAGGTCCACAGAAAGAGGAAGTGCCAGCGAATAAGTCTACACATGACATGCCAATGAGATAGAGGATTTTCAGGATGTTCAGTGTCCTGGAAGTCAAGGGAACAACTTGTTTAAAAGAAGATGTGATTAGCAGTATCAAATACCAAAGATGTCAAATCAAATTAGGATGTTGGATTTGACAAGATAAAGGGTGTTGGTGGTCTTGGAAAAGAATGATTTCAGTGGAGTGGTGGGAATGAAAGCCTAATTAGAGTAGTTTGAAGAAAGAATGTGAGATAAGAAGGTAGAAACAGCTTATGTGGATAACTCTTTAGAAGAGGTTTCAAAGAGAGTAGAGAAATGGGTGGCTACAAGAAGGGCATGTGGCGTAGAGAGCAAGTTTGTTTTTTAATAGGATAGAAAATAATTTGGCAGACTTTTAGGCTGATTGGTATGATCCAATAGAGAGAGTGTTTGATCCTTCAGTGAATGAGAAGGGGTGGGACTCCAGGAACAAGAGAAGGCGATGGCTTGGATGGCAGCAGGGACAGTTCATCCGTTCTCACAGAAGGGAAGGCAGAGCATGAGGATACATATGCAGGTAACTTGGTAAATTTATTAGTGGGATGATCAGGTAGTTCTTGCCAGATTGCTTCTGATTTTCTCAGCATAATGCAGCTAGATTATTAGCTGTGATAGAGTTTTGAGAGGCAGGAATAAAGTCGTCATCTCAGACAGTGAGAAAGATCACCACTAAGGAAATGTAGGGTTGGAAGCAGTGCTGAGTGTCCACTTGAATTTCATGAGCAAACATTTGCTGCGGGACCAGTTTTCATGGTGGTTTGTCATTTTGTCCAGCTACCTGGAGCCGCCTGATTATTAACAGAATAATCAGGTTAATTGTATAACTTGTATGAATTTCCTTATTTTAAAATAGGAATAATATCTGCCTTGGGAGCAAGTTGTAAGAATTAACTGAAAGCTTAAGGAAAAAACTTTCACATGCTAGTTAAGTAGGGCTTTACAAGTTATACTTCTATCACAGTTTTAAGATTATAAACCAGTTTTTTTTTGGTATAAATTTATACACTAGTATTCTTATGGATAGAATTTAAGTAACTCAGTTTTGAGATTTGGAAATTCAGTAGTTACTGACTGTGGGGAAAAATTGCTGATTTGGTTCTTAATATATTATAGGCTGATATTTATGCCCTGATCATTTCCCAGAAAAACATGAGAATATGGCCAGAAAGGAATATACTATGAATGACCTTTTTCCTTGAATTTCAGAGGCAAGTGCAAAAACCTGTGATGGTGTACAATGTGCCTTTGAAGAACTTGTTGAAAAGATCATTCAGACCCCTGGACTGTGGGAAAGTGAGAACCAGAATAAAGGAGTCAAACTGTCACACAGGGAAGAAGGCCAAGGAGGAGGAGCCTGTGGTGGTTATTGTTCTGTGTTATAAACTCTGGGAAATCTTGCATATTTGATCAGATAGTGACATCTTTCTGTATATAAACTCTTTAACTGCTATTTTAGGGACCTTGCAGTTTGCACATAATTGTTTTATATCATAGCAGTAAATATTTGCAAGAAATCCCACTCATTGACCCCGGGTAAAATGTTATGGTAAGCATGCACAGTTTGCGGTCTACAGTTTTTTTATGTAGCACAAAATAGGTGTACCTTTATAAGTACATTCAATTTTATGATTTACATTTATCATGTAATTTTTAAAATAATCCACCTATCTAGTATATGTAGATACAAAGTCTGCTTTTGCTATTCTTTTTGCTTAAATACTCCTATCATTTTCTGAATTACTTGGTATGTAGAACTCCTAGACCCACGGAGAAGAATAGAGGTATCATCAAACGTGGCAAATTTTCTTTCAGGAATAATAAAGAGCATGATTCCACAGCTTTTCTAGGATGTTTGAGATTCTTTTTTAGTATGAAGCAAAATTCTCATTACAGAATGTAGCCCAGGCCAATTTATAACTAAATCTCTATTTGTTCTGATGATGCTTCTAAAACAGCATTGATAGGTTAAAGAAGCTTGGTACTTTTAATTTACTTCAATGATTAGCTCAGTTGCTTAACTGGAGTTTTAATCCTGTGATATGTACATTGGATTCATGACTCTGTGCAGTATTTTTAGTTATGTGGTGTTTGGCAGAATGACAATAAGGTTTTCCCCCATTTTGGTTTCAGGAGGACATGAATAGTGTGTTTATTGTGACTCCTCGTACTAACCACTTTTAAAACCAACATCTTTTTTCATAAATGTTGGTAGTATTTGTCCAGGTACCTCAATTGTAGCTTGTGTAATGTTGATGAATATCTGTATCTTATGGCTTCCATAATGGCTAGTTGACATTGAAAAACCTATTTCTGTGTTTTGAGGAGTGGGGAAGAAAAACACTGAGTGAAAATTTGAGAAAGGCATATTACTTTCAGATTCTGATGTGTGAGGGAAAATACTGTCACAATGAAAATCTTGACAATTTACTTAACAAGTAACCAATAGTTCATCAAAACCAACTTGTACAGACTAATACATCTTTTTCATAGTATTCAGTTTTCTCACCTCTTGCTATTGTATATTGTAGATTTTTTTCACTCATGTGTTATTTAATTTACACTGATCTCTGCTATTTTAACCCCCCAAATAAGTTATTTGTCCTTTAAGGTTGGTTACTATAATACCCCTTAGTAAGATTCCAGTATTAATTTCTGGGCAGTTTGTTCTCTGTATACAATTGCAAATGATAAGCATTTTTGTGAGTGACCACCTTTGCAATATGTTTGTTAATTTACTTCATGTTGGGTTCTTTCTGAAATGTACATCTTTACATATAAAAACCTCACATTCTATTTGATTTACACTTCCTAGTCTACATTACATGTGGTTGAAGGTTTTATACATTCTAGATGCTTTTACTAAATATACAAGATTTACTACTAGAAATTTGGAGAAAGAACACTAACACAGGTACTTGTGATTTGTTCATGTTATATTAAAACTTGAGATTTGTGTATTTATGTAGAGTCTGTATTGACAAGACTGTTGTTTTTTGCTCCTTGAGCTATATAATCATCTGTGTATTGGATTGTTGTCTTGATTTGGTCTAAATTTGAATATATACAAGTTACTTGAATATAACAAAAATGAATTTTGTTTGATAGATTTATATTGTAACATTTTTCTAGTTCTTGAATAAATATAGCCTACCTTCCCTAGATGCATTTGTGCAGGAAGTATATACATTTCCCTATTACTCTCATCAGCTGAGGAATATGTACTATGGTGTTACTGATATTATGTGGCTTTCATTTTATTATTTTGTTGCACGCTTAGTGTTTTGTAGTGGAGGTTTTGTAAGTGACAACAGTTGTAATATCTAAAGTCAGGCATCTAGTAGCAGGGTTTTGTTAATTCTTTTCAGAATCATTGAAGCAGTCTTAAAGGGTCTTTTGCAGATGGTACAAATTAGAACAATTAGAATGTAGTATTTTGAGTTCTGGGAGTACTGAGATTGACCCAAACAAATAAAGAACTATTCAATTTCTGAGTAACAGTTAACATTTATTGAAAGCTTCCTTGGTGCCAGGTGCCATTCTAAGTGCTGAATTATCTCATTAAACCTCACAGCAACCTTAATATATTATCCTATTATGCCCATTTTAAAGGTGAGGACAACACTATGTAGGTATGTTGGGTAACCCCCAAAGATCACATAGCTACTCGGTCATTGAGCTGGATTCTAGTCATGGCATTTTTACGCCTGAGCCCATACTCTTCACCATCACTCGTTTTACAATGGGTGGTTACCAGCTTTTTGTAACACAACTGAGTTAAGGCAGGTCCACTATTTCTTTATCACTCTTTTGTTATATGTAATAGAAGTATTTCAGACTTTTTGGTTATAGAGTAAATCCCATGATGTAAACCTACCTCATAAGTCATGTGACATAAAAGTTAAGGTAGTGGAGTAGGTGATCTTATTTCTTTCATCTGCTCAGAGTGGAATGAAAATCCTGACTTAGAAAAGGTACAAAGTTAGGGGACTTATGGTACATTCACTTTCTATGTGAGAACAGAAAGTATGGAAACAGTAATTTTCTCAAAACTGAAATCTGGGGGTGATGTTTTCATTTCATGTATTTGATGGCCATCCACAAACTCATACTTGGTGTTGACATTCTAGTTGAGTGTTGTGGAAATAGACTTGATTTTGATTCATCGTAGTTTGCATAGTCAAGAAATAGACATGATTCTCTACTAAGGGTGGGACTAGCACCATAGCTCATGAAAGAATCCTTCTTACACCAGTACTTGTTCTGCCTGTGAGTTGGCACAGACTTACGTAATATTCATAGTCTATCTTTAAGTACAACTTAATGCATATTTTTTCTGTGTATTTTTTTCAAATGAACTCAACAATTCTTCATGTATTACAGATCAGAGATCCTCTCCATATTCAAGCATTATGCTTCTATTTCTTGGAGGTACATTTCACCAGTAATACTTAGGAAGTTATTTTGTCTTTCCTGTATTTCCCTAGTTAGGTATAGGAGTAAAAACATTCAGTTTTCAGAAGACATTGTTCTGACTCCGACCCTGCCTTGTATACTCGACTATATAGACTTCACCCTGGGTTTTGCCTAAACTATTGAAAGACGAGAATAAATAGACATAGATAGGCTAGCTAAGTTAAGACTAAGGACTAAGGAATATAGACTCACCCAGGTCTTTTTTTTTTTTTTTTGATTTCTCTCTCCCCAAATGGGAACATCTATCATGCTGGAGGACTGCTGTGATGGGGCTTTACATTTTACTGTTTTGTTGCTAGCTTATTGTTTCATATTTAGGAATCAGTCATGTTTCTGATTGTGGTATAAAGTTTGCTTAAGTGCCCCATAGTTAAAGCTATTCCATATACGCAAACACATACACATATTTTGAATAGTCATGTGAGTGCCTGTTCTCAGTCTTGCCCCCTTTACCATTTCTCATACATATACAAGTTATTTATTGTTTATTTTTTTCCTCTTTTTTGACCGGAGAAGCAACGAATTACATAGTTTTATTTGTGTTTCTTTGATTACTAGTGAGCTTGAGTACTTTTAATATTTTATTGGATATGTTTGTGACTGACTTTAATTTCTTGTTTGTGTGTGCTGTGGCTGCCCAATCCAGCACCTACTTCCTTCTCTCACCATACCCCCCCCCCCCCCCCCTGGCTGCCCAATCCAGCACCTACTTCCTTCTTCACCATACCGCAGTGTGGTGCCTGGCTTTGTTTTCTTTGTTGTGTTTTGTGTGGGGGCCCCCCACCCCCCCCCCTCTTCCTTCCCCCCCCCACCCCCCCCCCCCCCCCCGCAAAGAATCATGCATGTGGTTTGGATGGCATTGTCACACCCTCAGCTTTCTAGATTAACCCAATTACCTTTAAGCAGTGCCCCACTTCCCCAGTAGCAATGGTTCAGGGGTAGGCACCTGACCCAGACCAGACTACTGAGATAAAGATGTTTGCCTAGGCTTTTTCAGGAGCTATTGAAGACATCTCCTTGGAGATAGTGTGCTGGGAGGAGTCACATTCTGAACTTGCTGCAGCTCATTTTTCTAATATAAAGGAACCAGCCTGAGGCAGTACCAAGAGAATGAGAGGTAGTCTGTTGGAGCCCTTGGGGACTTCTGGATCAAATTGGACCTGAATTGAGATCTATTTCTCAACTTTCACTTATGTGAGCCAATAAATTCCTTTTTTGTTGAAGGCAATTTGACTTGGATTTTCTTTTTTCTTGCAACCAAATATATGTTGTGTGAGAATGTGTGTGTTTTTCTTATTTACGGAGGTACTTGTACATCAGGTTAGTTACATCAATAATAGATTGATTATTTGCATAAGAAAGAAAAAGTATACCACTTGAAAAGCCACTACTCTTAAATAACTATTAACATTTTAGTGAGATTACTTTTACATATTTCTTTATGGATATACACATAGAAAACTGTAAATGAGTTAACTTCATACATGCTATTTTAAGGACCTCTTGATTTATATGATGTGGTTTCTTTTCATTTCCTCTGTCACCCGAGCACGCCCTCATTCCTCTCCTCCCTGAGGTATCTGTTGCATCCTAGCACATGTGCTCTTTCTGCATTTCTCGATGTTCATATTCATATGCAAATACATATAGATACATATATATTTATATATAGTTACAATTTTCTTTACATTTAAATATATATTATAAATTGGAACCATCTGTATATTCATCTCTGCATGTTGTTTTTCTTTGTTTTTTTCTTTATTTTTTAGAGACAGGCATTCGCTGTCTCCCAGGCAGGAGTGCAGTGGCATGATCACAGCTCACTGCAGCCTCGACCTTCCAGATCCAAATGATGTTCTCACCTCAGCTTCCCGAGTAGCTGGACTACAGGTGTGCACCACCATGCCTGGATAATTTTTTTAAACATCTTTTTGTACAGACAAGGTCTCCCTGTGTTGCCCAGGCTGGTCTCGAGCTCCTGGGCTTAAGCTATCCTGCCTTGACCTCCTAAAGTGCTGGGATTACAGGCATGAGTCACTGCGCCTGGCTGCCTTTCTTTCCTAACAGTAGATTGTGAAAATCCCTCCAAGCCAATTTCTGTACATCTAAGATCCATTTCAGTGATGGTACAGTATTAAAATTCGAATGTGTCGGATACCACAATTTGTTCAACTATTCCTCTAGTAATGGGCAATTATCTTGTTTCTATTTTTTTTGCTACTGTAGATAGTACCATGATAAATATCGTTGTGCATATTTCCTTTTGTTAAGATATCTATCAGTTGGATCCATAGATCAGACACTGCATTTTTTAAGTGTTGACATATTTTGTCAATAGCTTCCCAAAGTCTATAATCTTTTACATTTCCACTAGTGTAATACATATGAACATACCACTTTCCCTCTTTCCTGCATTCCCCATCAGCCCTGAGGTGTTACCACGTTTTAGTTACTTTGATACTTATAAGGTGTAATTTTTTTTCAACTTTTATTTTAGAGTCAGGAGTGCCTATACATGTTTGCTATAAAGGTATATTGTGTGATGCTGAGGTTTGGAATACAAATGAATCTTTCCCAGATAGTGAGTGTATATATATATTTTTGAGATAGAGTCTGACTCTGTCACCCAGGCTGGAGTGCAGTGGTGTGATCTCAGCTCACTGCAACCTCTGCATCCCGGGTTCAAATGATTCTTCTGCCTCAGCCTCCCGAGTAGCTGGGATTACAGGCATGTGCCACTATGCCTGACTAATTTTTATATTTTTAGTAGAGATGGGGTTTCACCATGTTGGCCAGGCTAGTCTCGAACTCCTGACCTCAGGTGATCCGCCCCCCCTCGGCCTCCCAAAGTGCTGGGATTATAAGCAGGTGTAACTTCTGAGGTGTAACTTAGTTTGCATTTTCTGCAGTCATTTTCATGTTTGTGGGCTTTTTTTTGAAGTGATTATTTATATCCTTTGCCAGTTTTTCTGTTCAGTTTTTTTGTGGTTTTATTATATGAGTTCTTTGTATACTACAGATATTAATCCAAATGTGTATGTTATAAGCATTTTTTTTCTAACAGCCTTTTAAAATTTTGTTTATGCTATATTTTCCTTACAATTTTTAAAAAAATGTTTTATCACTTCTGGGCTCCTCAACTCTTAGATTTGACATAGTTTCCTTAACCTCCTCTGAGATTTTTATTTTATTTTTTCTTTTAAAATCTTGAATAATTTGAAATTCACTTGTTTATGGCACAAGATAAGGAGCCATCTCATTCTTCTTCATACATGTAGCCTGTTGTTCTGCACAAAACATGAAATAAACCTGCCTTTTCCTACTGAGCCGAAGTACCGCTATTGCCCTAGATGAAATTCCCATAAGTACTGTAATCTACTTTGACCTTCTATTTTAGGGGCTCTTAACCTTGAAAAGTAATGTATTTTAGTATAATTGGTTTTTCTCTAATTCTGTGTATTTTATGTTTTAAAAAACCTTCTTAAAATAGCTCTGCAGGTTTCATCAGACTGCCACAGGGGTTTGGTAAAGCAAAAGTCTTGATGGTGGCTTTAGCTAACAGAAAACATAGTATATGGCTTGTAAGGCACATTCTTCTATGTGCTTATATTTTTTTCTTCACATGTGAATCTTCAAATGATCCCTTACCCATTTTTCCTTTTGGTAGGTCCTTTTAAAAAATATTCATATGAAGGAGGTTTATTTCTTTTAATGGAATATGGTTACTAATCTTTTGTCATTAATATTTATTGCTGACATCTTCACCCAGTGACTTGTCTTTTGAATTTGCTTGAAGTTTTACATCCTTAAAAGTTTTAAAAACCAAAAATTTAATTCTTAATTAGTTTTTAGAATTCTAACTGGGATCACATGATATTCCTGCATTAATTGTGAGAAAACTGATAATTTAGTTACAAGACTTGCCATGAGGATACATGGGGTATCTTTCTGTATTCAGATTCTATAATGTTTTTAGTAGTTTATGGTTTTCTTCACATAGGACCTATACCTTCT